CTTCCTTGCTTATTGCGTGCTGGTCAGAGAAACCCCTTCCCAGCTAATGCGTCAGTAGGAGCATCAGAAATTATGTTTGCATCTAAGCAAGAAAGGTCAGATCAAACCCTTGTGAGCAGAGGGGTGGTAAGGCCCATGGGATTTGTGGAAGCTACCTCCTCACCCAGCAGCACCAAGGTATGAGCCAGCGTCCCTGGGACACACAGATCCTGGCGTGCGGCGTGGCGGTCGGTGCTCAGATGAGTGCTTTGAGCTCTTTGATCAGCTTGGATGCTCTCAGCTTTTCTGGCTGCACTGCGTTGCTGTTCGCTGCCCAAAAAATAACACTTTGTTGGAGCTGGGAACCTTGCAGTTGCCCAGCTTTTCAGGACCAACCAGGCCTGTTTGCGTGGGGATTACAGCTCAAGAAGCCCAAGAAGTGGCCAAGCCTGGAGACCCCAAAAGGCTGGGAACTGCTGCCCCAAATGAAAGCAAAGCTTTTCTCTTACCGTTCTCTTCCAAATCCAACCAGCCAATTACACATTAATTAAACTTTGTTTGAACGTAATAGAAGCTTTGGCTCCATGTCAGTAACTGCTCCATGGTCAAGGGGATTGGATAGTAATAGAATAAATAAATAAACAAGAGATGCTTATTCTAACAGTTCATTTTAAAACAATTTGTGAGTATCATGTAGAGATAAAATGTGCCTAGCATAAACTTAGCTAAGCAATGACTGCTTCATTATCAGAACAAATAATTCACTCGCACATCATCTTTGAAGCTTGGGAGGGCTACAGAATTGTGCTGCTTGTTTATTTTCCTGGCTTTTACTGTTTTTGCTACATTTCATCTGCACAGAGCTGCGGGAAGGGTATAGCCGGGGCTGTGGCAGTGTGGTGCCAAGCCTCGGCGACGCTGGTCCTGCCACTCGCAGTCCCCAGAGCCAGCTCAGTCCCCCTGCCCTCCCCAGGGCATCACCCTGCACTCCAGCCCCCAGCGACTGGGGGCCAAACTGTGGTATTTTAATGTGGTATCAGATGTCCTGCTTGCACACGAGGGAGGCACCGTAGCCTTTCCCCTTGTGATCGTTTTGTCGTGTGAATGTAAAAACTGACTTTTCCCTTCTGAAGGGCAGTGGGAGCTGCCGCCACCACACAGCAGCACCGTGCTCCTGCACATCTCCATGGGGGAGGTGGAAACGTGCCTGTCAGAGCACTAAACCCAGCAGAGAGATCTGAGGTGTGTAGGAAACCGTTGGGACGGTGCTGAAGAATCTGGATGGTCCCTTCTCCGCTGAGTTGAGCTGGAGGGAGAAGTAGGCTTTGAGCATGTCCAGAATCGGGATATACTGACTTAGTGTTTTGCAGAGCAGGCAGTCGGGGCTGACGCTTGGCTGCTTGTGCTGCCTTCTCCAAGCATCGCCGGCTGTCACACGGGCACGCTGTGGGCTTATGGCCAGTCCCTGGGAGGGCAGGGAAGCTGTGGGGCTGGTGGTGGCTCCGTGGGTCCTGCTCACCGAGCGGCCCCGCTGGCTGCTCTGTGTTGGCTGGCAGCATCCATCACAGCTCGTGTGCTGGTGGGTTAGACACACAACTGGTGTGGCTTCCCAAGAAACGTGCGTAAAGCGCAAGAAATTGGAGCGGTCCTGGACTCCCTCACCCCAGGGATGGTGGCGGCGCTTGCACATTCAGCGCATTCGATGAAGCCCTGGGACATTGTGTCCAACCAGATTTTGGGTCTGAACAAAAGATGATGAGGCCGGGCATTGCTACTCTTAATCTCCTGATTACCGGTGGCTTAAACTTCACCTAATCGTTGATTTGTCCCGTGCTGCCAACATGCCCAGTGCCTAACCTCATGAGCTTCCCTGTTCGTACAGACGCAGCAGGCTGCAGGAGGTGATGCCGGGGGTCAGATGCTGCCTGCTCAGGCACAATCCCCATGAAGCCCCAAATTCCCAATTTTTGTAACTGGTTTCCAATCCGCGAAGTTCTCCCCTGGCGTGGAGTTGTGCACAGCGGTGGTAAGGAGGGTGGGTAAAGCTACCCGGGTCTTGCTTCAGACCTCCCACCAAAGCCAGGCTGAGCTTTCCCAGAGCTTGGCAAGACGTTGGCAAATTTTTATTGCAGCGTTGGGTGGTTGTTCTGCCGCTGCTGGTCCCTGAGCAATAGACGATGAAGCAAGCTATTGTCAGGGAAAGCTGGCCAAGGCGAAGCATCCTCTGTGGAGACGCCCATCCGCCCGAGAGCTCCTGCCTGCAGAGATTTGGCAGAAGGGCCAGTTATGCAAAGCTACTACTGAGTGTAGAGCCTATGGCTGTGAGTAGCTCCATTGACCTGGAGTAAATCTGGGGAAGCAGGCAGGTTTTTGGCCCCTTCCCAGGGCTGACGGGGAGCTCTATAGACCCACTGTAGGTACAGCCCTGCTCCCGGGCAGGGCTGGTGCAGCCCCGTGCCTCCGCCGTTGTTTTCTGCTCCCCTCTTTCAAATGGGACATTGAATAAGGGCCAGGACATGATATTAGGTGCTCTCTCCTGCCCTTTCTTTTTTTTTGTTGTTGTTGTTAATTGAATCTCTATGACTGCATTTTCTTGGACCCAGCGCTTTGGTTTGTCATGCCTTCCCACCAGAAATGCAAAACCCATGTTTGTATCGTATTGCAAAGAGATATTTACTAAATGAGTCTCTTCCAAGGGGTTGAGAAATATGTTTTCATTAAGAAAATTAAACTGACAAGTCCCTGGACAGCACATTAGTCGCATAGTTTTTTCTTAAGGCCAAAATGCAGCAGCTAATAATAATGATGAAATGTCCATGCACAGCCAAATTACTAAAATCTACCCCGTGTTTTCCTGGAAAAGAATGCGGAGAGTTGGCAAACTTGGTTGTAGCTGGGTCTGTCGACTGCCGAGCACAATGCTACCACTGCAAGATACCGAGCGGTTTGCAAGTTAAGCAACACCTTCCATCAGATGCGAGTCCCCATTTGTTATCCTTAAAGAATTTCAGCTGTATATATTATAGTAGTACTTTGGCTCTTTGTATTTATTTTAGAGGGCTATACTAAAGAACATTATAAACTCAGGCATGTCCATGCTATATGAACTCCATATGCTGAAGCTTAATTTTAAATGCCATTAAAAAAGCACTTAACATTTACAATATATCAGTCCGGCTACTTTAGCAGCTTGGATGTACTACAGTAAATGAAATGATTGAGGAAAAAAAGAAATTCAGAAGCTAGATGTTATAAAATGTCCCGATGCAGGACGTTCGCTTGGTACGATGCAGTAACTGTCAAGTAGCATCCATCTCATTTTAATCAATTCCTCCTCTTTTTTGTTTCATTTTTAAATGTAATTTTAAGGCCTAATTTAAAGGAAAAAAAAATCTTGGCATTCAGATTGGATTCCTTATGCAATTTTTTTCAACGTGTGAATTGGGCTGTGTATTCACAAATTGAAACGTCCTACTGTATTTATCCAGGTGCTTACCTGTAGGAGGACAAGGTTAAGAGGAGTGCAGAGTTTATGAATGAAAATCAAATACGGACATTGGTAAACCTCCCCTTTTTATTCCTGGCTAATTACATGGTAAACATCTGGAATTTATGCAGGGCAGTTAAAAGAGTCAATTGAAATGATTTTGAACAGGGCCCATTTTGTTGCCTTCTCCCCAAGCAGCGACAAAATGGTGCTGCAGACCTGGGCCAGCTCGGCTGGGCATGGGGGCAGTGTGCGGCGGAAGGAGGCATTAAAGGGGGACAAAGTGTCCTCGACGTCCGAGGAGAAAAAAGCATCAGAATTTGGGCTCTTTTTAATTAGGGTAATTAGAACGACCGCAGGATGTAGCAATTCTCATCGTCCGTCCCCTTACACTGGTGAAAAGGAGGATTTTCTGAGCCGGCTGGTTGCTTGAAGGTTGTGGTGAGACAGTTTGCTCTATTGACTTTTTATTTACTGGATGAGGAGGAGGTTGGGAAGACGGAGCCAAGAAAATAGTTACTCTGAGGGTGTAAAGTGCCTGATCCTGCAAATCCTGTCCCCTGATGCAGTCTTGAGGGCTCGGCAAGCTCATGGCAGTGCCTGTAGCCATCGGGGCCATCTCCTTTGGATCGCAAGACCGGACCGTGGTGGTATATACTGGTTTCACTGCCACAGCTTTATAAAAAAAATATTCTTTAACATTGCAAAGATCCTTTAGGTATGTAAAAGATATGTAAATGTTCTTTCACGATCTACTGGTTTATGTGACATTCCCTATTCCGTGTTGGTTGCTATGTGTCCGCTAAAGTCAATGGTAAACCAGTGGGAAGGTCTGCGGTGCTCCTGGCTGGAACAAGGTTTAACAGGATGCTGTGGATTTGGGAAATTCGGGAGGGCCAGAGGAGTGGTGGCTGTCTACACCACTGCAGGATTTAACCCTTAGTTTCCCCCCAGGCTTTACTGATCCTCAGTTTTTTGTTGATGGGAACACAGGTTCAGCTACTGCATAGGAGTGGTGGTGGGACTTGGTGTTGTGGACAAGGGCAATGTGTGAATGACAAAGCCGAGTGTGCTTAGTTTCTTCTGAAGTGTAGTCAGATCTCATGGCTTTTCATGCACTTTCATGGCAACAAGAAATCTGCATTTTTTGAGGCTGCAATAAGCCACGTGGAGCCTCCTGGAGTAGTGAAGGCTCCATGTCCAAGAATCCCATAAGGAGGGATGTGTTGACCGCCCGCCCCCCCATCTCTCTCTACACCCATCTTTTCCTGGCACTGGCCCTGGCCCATACCCCCTCTCTGCATACCCTTATTTGTATTTGTGCCCCATTTTGCCCCAGCCCCGTGCAGGGGCTGAAAAGAGTGCGTTTAATTCAGGTGGCGTACCAGCAGCAATAATGTTTTGTAGCTCATTTGTCCTAGTGTGAATTCATCACATGGTGGATCTGCCTTTTGGGGTGCTGCTCCAAACTTCCATCAGTTCCAGCGCTGCTCCACACCACTCACTAATGTGTTAACCCTTTGCGTTTCTTAAGGAGGATGTTTCCTAGTTACAAGGTTAAAGTGACTGGAATGAACCCCAAGACCAAGTACATCTTGTTGATCGACATCGTCCCGGCTGACGACCACCGGTATAAATTCTGTGACAATAAATGGTAAGAGAACATTTCTGTTTGCCTCTTTTTCCGTAAGAAAATTGCAATTGGATCAACTGTTTGCTGTGCAAACTCAGAAACCAACTTAAATACCTTCCCACTGGAGGGATGCCAGCATCCCAGAGCTCTCTTTGGTGGAGCAGCAATAGCTACAAGAGCCAATGGCTGGCAGTTAAACCCAGGCAAATATAAAAGAAAATATTCTTAACAGACTAGGTGATTAACTGCTGGAACAAACTGCGAATGGAGGTGGTGGATTGCTTGTTTCCCCAGCGCTCGAGACTGGATGCCTTTTCCGAGGAGATGCTTTAGGCCAAGCGTAGGTTATCTGGCCATGTGCAGGTGTAAGAGGGAAAAGTCACAGCCTGCATTATACTGGAGGCTGGACTAGATGATCTGATGGTCTGTTTTGGCATTAAAAATTAGGTGTCGACATGATTCCAGAAAAGTTTTAAGTTCCTTTCTTCGATAGTAATAGTTTATTTGTAGGCAACCAGCTATAAAGCAGAACGGGGTGGTTTACTCAAAGCCCTGGTTCAGCCTCGCTGATCCGGCAGGCAAAGGGAGCAGCGATTCCCCCTATCGCAGTCCAATGCCAGATCCAGTTTAGGGTTATTTTCTTTTAATTTATTCTTCCTCTGGAGTTTCTTTCTCTCCTGTTATTCTTCCCTTTCCTGTGCCTTTAGTAAAGTTACTTACTTGAGAAGCAGCTATGACTTTTGCTGTCTGATGAAGGATGCATGCTGTTTCCTCTTTTACTTTTTACCCCCAAATACACCCAGCAGCCTCCTTCCCTGCGACTATTCGCTGTGCTTTTCCCAAAATCCTTCCACCAACTGCTGCCTGGTGAAAAGATGAGCAGTGGAAAATTTCATAGTCATTTCAATGGGAACGAGCCTGGTGACATCCTATAAAACAGTAATAATTTACTTGCACATTAGGCATGCTCTAGTTTTAAAGAATCCCTTTTCCATTCGCTTTTGTCCTGGAGTGCCGCTGGGTAAGAGGAGCGGACTGTGGGCCTCTGCGGAGCAGCATCCACTTTGTGTTTTAAACATTAAGCCTTAGATGATGGATAGTTATTAACTCTGTTTAATTTAGGTTTTGCCAGCCCTAGAGCTGTTTCCCCTTTTCCTTTTATTGCTGCTGGAAAGACTTGGTTGTTTTTGGTAATATTGCTTTTATTGGTGTTTTATAAGAGGAGAACAATGCACAGTAATGGGGGAGTTGCCATTGTCTTGTGTCCGTGAGAGCTGGTGGGTGCAAAGGGACTGGGCAGAAGGATGCGAGGGGCAGCGTCATGTGCCAGCACACAGCTCCAAAGCGGGGAGCAGCCCCTTCCCATCGGAGCTGCTGCCCAGCTGGGGGCTGCAGGAGCCCTGCATGGCTGTGGAGGCCGTGCACTCACGCCGGTACCTCCTCCTGCTCTCGGGTACCTTCTTCTGGTGTAGCGTGTGAGACTGTCTCCCCTGGAATAATGGCATTTGAAGGCGCTGTCATCTCCAAAAACCCAGACAAGATTTCCTCCTTGACCAATGCCAACCCAGCTGCCATGTAGAGACACTGCCCCAAGGAAATATCACACAGGAGCAGAGATGAGGTCACTTTGCCATCCTGCGATGCTGAAACAAGTAGCCCTGAAACGCCACGAGCAGCAGGAGCCTGTCCGAGCCCCTGTGCCCCAGCATGTCCCTCCAGGGCTGGCGGGAGGGTTGCTGGGTTGAGTTCAAGGGCAAAACGCTCTCCTACATGCGGGCTGGCGTCTGCTGCCGAAGTGATGCAATCTGTAACCGCTGTGTTTGCAGGATGGTGGCCGGCAAGGCAGAACCGGCCATGCCAGGGCGGCTGTACGTGCACCCCGACTCGCCCGCCACGGGAGCACACTGGATGCGGCAGCTGGTGTCCTTTCAGAAGCTAAAACTCACCAACAACCACCTGGATCCCTTTGGACATGTAAGAGAGATGTTCTACAGGGGGTCGGTTAGAGGTGGGCCCGTGACGCTGAATTTGTCTGTGGACTGGGATGCTGGTTGGGATGTCGCACTTAATTTAATAATGAGGAGCACCATTTATTTTGTGCTGCTGGTGCAGCTGGGTGGGGGACAGTTTATTACTGAGGGAGGGTGGTTGCAGTTGCTGCCTGCGTGCTTCCCTTCTTTTGGAAATGCAGCCTCTGACTTGCTCAGTTGTTGCCTGCCGGATGCCACCGACCTTTTATTTTCTGCCCAGGAACTTTCCAGGCAGCGCTGTGGGATTTTCAGCCCGGCTGTTGCTGCGCACAGTACATTCAGCTTGCAGAAACAGGTTGCATAAACTCATTATTTTCCAAGCTGGCTTTGGCAGCTGTATAAAGGATGAAGTATTTTATTTGGAAAATCTTAATTCATGTGTATTGCGAATGCAGAAATGGGAAGTACAGGGTTATCTACCACAGTGCATTTAATAATGGAGCACAAGGGCCCTGCCAGGCAAACGAGTACTTAGATAATGAATATAAAAATACGGACCTGTACGGTTTGCACTGCCCGAGCTGAAAGTCGTGTCAAAACAAACAAACCTTGCTGGCTGGAGGAAGGGAGGACAGAGTTTAAAATCCTTTTTAGGTGTAGCACCACCAGCTCCTCCTAGTAACGCAGGTAAGAGAATCTACTTCGTATCATCCAATGTGGTTTTTAACCTGCCAGTCTCTGAAGCAGCAATCTGGGGTGTGAGGGGGGCTGTGAAAAGGTCCTGCAGAAGGGTGCAGAGGGAGAGGGGGCTATTTGTCTCGCTCAAAATGATCATGCGTCAAGCCTCTAAAGAGCAGGATCTCACGTGGAGTCAGTTGTCCTGATGCCACCCAAAAGCCGTACAGAAAGTGCGGTTCTGGCACAGCTAAATCAGCCGGAGCTTTATGGGGTGGACTCTAGAGGCACGGTGACCCCACCAGCTGAAAAAGCTGTTAGAAATCCAGAATTTTTTTGCTGCTTTCATAGCCTTCCGCAAATTCTGAACTTTCCAAAGCCAGCGTGCCGATCGTGCGCGTCGCGGCGGCAGAGCCGCGCTCTGGCAGCGTGACATGGTGATAACCCAGCCCTGCGCAAAGCCGTCAGCAGCGCCGGGAACTGACCCTCCTCCCCAACCTACTGACCCCAGGGAAACATGTGGGAACTTCAAAGGCTAATCGGGACCATTTAATGCTGACGTTATTAATCACAGGCAGTCTCGCCCCTTCACTCTTCTTTAAGGGGGAAAGCACCACGGAAATGAAATGAGAACAACTGCGTTAAGGGTTGCACAGTAAAAATTACATAAAGCCCACAGATGCTGGCGTTTTGGTGTCAGCAGCCGGACTGACCTGCTTGCTTTGCACGTGGCATTTTTTCACTCCTATGTTTTTCTCTGGGTTAGCTCTGTAGCTTAATATATGACTGTTTATGCTGTAAAATGTAAACCATAAAACATACAGGATGTTCGATGTGGCCGTAAAACAAACAGGATGTGCAGTGTTGGTTTTGCAACTTTAAACGTTCGCTTTTCCTGACTTTGTCATTTTTTAACTGTGATTTTAACACTGCATTTTAACAGGGAAGATTTTCCCTCCCCCTGTTTTAATAAACAGCCTGTTTATCATGCCACAGAGCATCCACAGTAAGACAGAGGGGACTCCGGTTTGTGTTTTGGGGCGACACTTGCAGCGCGAAGGAGCCCTGCGTGGTCCCCGTGCCCGGCGGGCTGTCCTGCCTTGTACACAGCCCAGCACGCTGTCTCCTGCTGCTGGGAAAATGCCTGGAATAACCTGATTTAAGTGCCCAGGTCGCTGTGCTGTTCAGGCACTGACAACCTGCCTGGCTAAATGGGATTTAACCCCTTCTCAGACGGTTCCTCGTTAGGCTTCCAAATTAATCATCTGCTTTAGAGGAACGGGCTGTCACTTTTTGCTGTGCACTGGAGGAGACCTGGTCTCTGTACCAGCCCAGTGTGTGTTTTCCTATCAGCTCGTCCCAAAAACTGTTCTGCTGTGGGTGCATGGTGGCTGATGTCCCCGGACAAGGCAGCGCCTGCGAGGTATCTGCCCGGCATGGCACAGTCCTCCCAGCCCTGCCGGCAAAGGCACTCCATTATGAATAATAACAGCTTCTCATTTCTAGGAATTTGTTCCCAGAGATTGCAAACGCTCTCTTAAAGCTCCCTAAGAAAAACAGCCAGAAAACCCACAGGATTTGTTTGCCTTTTCGTGCTCCAGCGAAGCCTGCCTGTCATTTCCTTTTGTCTTTGATTTCCTCCAAACCTCAAAACCACGCGGAACGATGATTTCTGCAGACTGCCACTGGTACTTTTTTTGGTGCGCGGGCAGCTGCCCAGCCACAGCCACGCCGGCTCATCCTCCCTGGCACCCTCGGCTGCTGCGGGTGCCCGCAGGTGTCACGGGGCTCCCTACCTGGCTCCCACCGTCCTGGGGTCCAGCTCCTCCCGGTGTCCCAAAATCACAGCCCTTTGCTGCGTGTGAGCAATCCCCTCCAGCCTCTGCCGTGCTCCGAGCAGAAACTGTTTGCTGCTTGAGGGCAGACGGGGTGAGGAGGTGGGGGAGAGGCCCATGGCAAAATATCTTTGTGCTAAATACTCCTTTTCTGGATTAACCGTTTTTTTGGTAGACGCTTATTTGGGGGAAAAAACCAAAGGAGCTGTCCCAGCTCCCCTGTTTGTTCACCTACCGGGTAAGATCAAGCATGGGGACCTGATCCTGGGGTCAGGCTGGAGCGTGCACGGTGTTACGGGGGGGTCTCGCAAGAAGGACGTGGTGGATTTTATGGGGTCGCGGTTGCCGGCGCAGCTGGAGCACAACCGGCTGCTGGGCTCCGTCCCTGCCCGCCGCAAGCACGCATGGTGTGGGGGGGGACGCAGGTCTGAAGGGCAGACACATCGTGATGAGGGTCACAGCTTCTCTGAGCATGGCTCCTGGGATCTCACCTGAAAAACAGGCAGAAACGTCACATTATTTCAATGAATTCGTTGATAAATAAATCCATGCCCTGACTCCGTGCACTGTCATAGCTGCTTAAAATCATGAACAGGCAGTGCCATGGAGTTTGTAAAGTGAAGCGTAGGTACATTTGAGGCTTAAAATAAGGAAGTTAAACAGCTTAATTAATAAGCCGTGGGGCTGAAGCCCTTGTTGCAGTCCACGGAATTAGACTGAGGGTTATTTACTGGGGTATATAACTGAGGGTTATTTACTGTGCTGGTGGGAGGGGATGCCTTACTGGTGGCACTGGAAAGCCTCGCTTTTTGACACTCAGCCCATAAACCCAGCCACCAACCGTTCCTCTTCAGTCTCACAACCCTCCCTCCTGCTTCTTCCACTTGTCACTTATCTATTGCAGTAAACTATTAGTTACAGTCACAGGCATGGGGGGCATTTTTCACTGCAGACATGTAGTAATGTGCAGATTTTAAATAAGAAGTTAAGTTCAGAGCTCTGCAATCTGCCTGCAAACTGCTCTGGTTGAGCAGGTTTTGCAGCAGGTAAGCCTGCACCCAGCTCCTGCACCACGGCCTGAAAATGTGGGCTGTATATTTTCCTCTTGGGGGATTTTTTGACCATGAAAGGCTTCTTTCACACCAGGCTTAACATCTGAGAAATGCTCATGTTGAGAATGGATTAAGAAATCAGCAGCTGCTGTAATGTTTAGCTACGGCAAGGTCTATCTGATCCTAAAGAAAGCATTGTAAGCCACCTATGCTTAGAGTAAAATCTTAATTTATGTATTTTCAAATCTTCACATGCAGAGACAATCAGCTTGACAGAGCCTCTGATTTACGTGGGGCTGATGAGTGAGAGGGTTAGTAATTCTGACAGAGCTGAGGCTTCACTCTCTAATGCCACGTAAACAACAGGCAGTTGCATATAGTCTGTCTGTGGAGACAAGTAAAATCCCTGAAGTGCCAGCAAGCTGCACAAGGCTGGCACATTCCTTACCCATTCCCAGTCTATTCTGCCTGGGAAGCACCTAGCTGTGTTTTCCAGCTGAAAAATGGGAATGACTCCTTCCTCATGAACCAGGTTATATCATTGCAAGTGCTCACGGATCGGTTGGCTAACAGCAGCTGTAGATGATGCACAAAAATGACGTGTCTGTTGGAAAGGATAACATAATACTTGTGTTTCTTTAGGAGGTTAGTTCAGGGCGTATGGGAAAATATTGAGCGAGTCCTGACGAGTATCTCCACAGTGATAAATGCTCATGAATGGAATTCCACTTTCTTCAGAGGTTTAAAGTATGTAAACAGGGGGGTGGAGGGCGCCTGTGAGACAGTCCTTATGGCCGGGATGCTGCTGGCTTACGGGCAGCTCCTGCTCCGGGCCCCAGCAGGTGAAGGATGCACAGGGTGGGTGTGAAGCTGCCGAAGGGACGTCGTGCTGGGGGGTGCTGAGGGGCTTTGGCTTTGACCCGCGGTGAGGTTGTTCTCCTGTGCAACTCATTTCAGTTCATCAGGCTTTTTTGTTGTTTCGCTCGCTGGCCTTTCCTTCATCTTCTAACTCAGGGTGTTATTTAAGCTGAGGCTGGCAGCTCTGAATCAAAAATCCGTGCTTTTCTTTCCCCCTCGCAGTGCTGAGCAGTACCTGTGTGCCTGGGGCACGGCGGCTGGTAGCTGTACTAACCCCACAGCACACAAAGCCCCTCAGCCCGGGCTCCCTGAGACACTGCAAGTGGGCCTTGAGCAGTGGGACGAGCCCACGAGAGTGCTGGAAAGGGTCCCTGCTCCCACGGGATTGTGTGGGGGCTGCCTGTCTCCAGTGCACGACAGTGAACAACCTCCGGGCACAGCCAGCCCTCCTGCTAACGCTGCGTAATAATGGACGTAAAGTGCATAATAACGTGAAGGTACTTAATGTGCCTTGAGGGGTGATGAGGGTGGGCAGCAAGGGCGAGGAGCTGCCCCACGAGCAGCATCCTTAACCAGGAGGGCTGCTGAAAGGCGCTGTTAATTAGGGCAGACTTTAATTTGGTTTTACACTCGGTACATGATAGATGGGCGGACATGAGGACGCATTTCAGGCATCAGTGAGAGGGCTGGGCGTGAAGAGTGCCAGCTTTAGGGACAGTGTCGGGGGGGACTGCGGGTCGGTGGCCCCAGAGCTGTCTCCAGAGATGTGCTGGCAGCACAGGAGCCCAGCTTTGCTTGGCTCTTTCCCCCGAGGACCTTCAGAATGGGGTTTTCAGTATGCGGAGGAGTTAACGTCGAGCTGGATGGCAGCTCCGAGGGAAGCCCGTCTCACCAGATGCAATGTATCTGGACGAAGACCCTATCTTACTCTCAGGTCCCCTCTCCCCCCAGTTTTCGCAGGCTGTGAACACGCAGAGCCACGTAGGGCCAGCGCTCGTAGGCATGGAGTGACGCTGGCAAACGGCAGAGGAGCAAGCACGTCACATCAGGGGTTTCTGCTTTTGTTGTTGCTGTTGTTAATGACTCCGCTGAAATGAAACCTCTGCCAGAGGACTCAGCCTTTCTCATGGGCTTCTGCAGCCAGGCCAGCTTGGAAAGGACGATAGCATCACATCAGTATTTCTGGCAGGCTTCAGCTGGGACTGGATCAATTGGAAATTATTATTATTTTTGTTTAGAGAATACATAAAGTTATTCCTGTGGGAGCAAAAAAAGAAAAGACAAGTGATTAATGAAGATTAGAAGTGGAGGTTGTGACAAGTAACAGCAGAGATTTAAATTAATCCCCCCCAACACAGTATTGCTGAGCTTCGTTATGGTACATACCCTGTACCCACCTCACCCCTTGGCTGCTGACAGTGCCTTTTAATGGCCATAATAGTCTTTATCTGCTTTTAAAGTGTGGGTTATTTTAGCTTCCGAGATGTAACCTACTGAGGTTTAAAGCTACAGGGTATTATATATTGTCTGTCACTTGTGATGACATTTTAAGTGATATTCCTGGTGTTCTTGACCCAAATCTGCTATTTACTGGCTTTACAGTTTAATGCTGATGGGGTTGTTATTTCTGTCCAGATTTATTGTTTGCACATTTGATTTTATTTGATAATCACTGAAAGACTTATTTTTTCCCTCATCTTGGAGTTTCCCTTTCATTTTCCTATTAGTTCAGTTTTAGCATTTTTCTGTCTTTGCCTGTCAGGCGCACTCAGGCACTTTAATTAGGTTAATGTCCGGGTAATCTTACGAAACCCAACATTTTATTTAGATTTTTTTTTATTTGTTTGCTTTATGACTTGCGGCCAAGCAACTTCCTCGCCGGGTGCTGGTATGAGGTACGGCCGGGAAAGCAGCCGCCCCTCGGGCCCGGATCGCCTGCAGCCGAAGGGATGGGGCTGCGGCAGCTCCCAAGCAGAGTCCTGGCTGGTGGGAAGAGACGTGGCCTTGCTGGCTGCACTCCACTTGTACCCACTTAGAGCAGCGCTGTAGTATCTCTGTAGCAAGAGAGCAGGTCCACATCCTTCTTCTCAGCTGAAGATTTCTTACAGCATAGAATGGTTTGGGTTGGA